TAAACGAAGCATTCAAATGAGCATTTTTATGAAATACCACTCCCCCCCCCTTCCAGGGTTCTATTTACAATCTTATAAACCCTGCCGGAGGCAAAAAATATGCCAGCAGTTTCTGAGAGTCAGTTCTCTTCTCTACCTATCCATTTTTATTGATATTCAAAGCGTGGCATGACAGCTGTTTTCACAGAGGACGGATGAATGCACGTTAGTGCAGTAAGTTCTAGGTTAGGTTGCTTTTGACTGAACTCTCTTTAGGTTCTTATAGCCCTAAGCCAAATCTTCACCGGTGGAAGCTGAGTGAAAGAGGTGATTTTACCAAATCCTGCTGTGATAACTCTGATGGGAAACCGTTTTTTGCCCTCAATTGCAGAACTCTGAGAAGAAATCTTTCAGTGTTCTCAGCAAGTCGTATTGCAGTCCACTGAACACCTCCTTTCCCTCAAGTCCCATTTAAATGAGACAGTTGGACTCGGGAACAGTCGTTCGTTAAGGGTTCTGACACTTGTTCGGAGACGCTTAAAGAACGAGAGTTTCCCAGATTCCTTGGGGGCAGCCATGACTGTTTAAAGTGGTATCATGCTGCTTTAAATGTATGGTGTGAATGGAGACAAACTTCCTGAAACAATATGCAAACTGATATGGACTTCTTCTTTTTTTGCAATTTTGTGATGTTTTTCTTCAAACAAGTAATGCATACAAAAAAGTGCATAAAATGCATAGTTATGAAAATAACATGTAAAAGTGCATTGTTGCAATAATAATGATAATAATGATAATAATGATAATATACTGTGGGTGGCTTGTAGTGCCTATAAAAACACAACAAAATGTCAAACATTAAAAACTTCCCGATACAGGGCTGCCTTCAGATGTCTTCTCAAAGTTGTGCTTGTGAGGCAAAACTGCTTGGTGCAATGTGTTTATTAGGATAAACACGCACGAAAATGTGGGTGATTTTTGGTGAGTTATTTTTTGAAAAAGCAAAGCAAGGCTCAAACTGGTGCAGAAATGTTCAGAACTCAACTTAGGATTGAGGGAGGGGGAGAAACAGAAAATAACAAATGTATACCTCCTTAGTACTGCTCTTTGGGTTCCAACAGAACAATGCAAGAGAGGGAGGGTGTCTAGTCCTGACATCCTATGAAATGTGGGCATTTCTCAGGGGGCACGTTCGATATACGAGAACCTGAGCTAGTGGAAACTTGATTGGAACAGGAAGAGCCAACATTATCTTTTGCAACATGGATCTTTGAGGGTTGCCATGTTGGTGACCTCTGGTCCAGGCTCAGTAACAGCATCTCTTCTGAGTTTACCAGACAGGAGACGTTTCCTAACTGTACATGGCAGGAATTGAATGTGAGATCTTTGCAAGCGAAGATCTGCTAATTATCATTAAGTTAGGGCCCCTTCTCAAATTCATGACTGAATATATGTTAGGACTTGGACATCCCATTGCTTCTTGCATTCTGCTTTATGTCACACAAATGCTTAAAGGAGTTTGATCAAAATTGTGGTGTAAACAGGAACCTTCATAGTAAATGCAAAGGAAACTACTACATGGCCCTTCTTCCCGTATCTCTGATGAAAGAAATTGTATTGCTTATTGGTTTGGAACAAGTTAAATTAATCCCACTTGATGTATCAAAAGCGAGAAAACCATTTTATAGAAAACTCATTAGTCTTAACCAGGAACACTCTCAATCTTACTCCTTTCAGTAAATTTCAATTTTGGAAACAAACAGCAATTTCCCATGACTGGTGTTCATAGAATGAGAAAATGTGTTGTATTTATCTGCCTGTGCTTCCCTCACTCAGCTAATCCAGTTTTCACCTGATTAAAAAATAATAATAAATACTGCAATGCAGCTAAACTGGAAGTGTAAGCTTGTTGCTTCAATGTAAATGATGAATTATGAGACTTGGTGCATATCAGGAGTGAATCAGGCCAAAGTTCTTTCTCACAATATTCCAATGGGATGACCACAAGAAGGACATGAAGAAAATAAACTTCTCCTGCTGGTGTCTCTGATAGTGGAAATAATCTATCTATCATCTATCTATCATCTATCTATCTATCTATCTATCTATCTATCTATCATCTATCTATCTATATCTATCTATCATCTATCTATCTATCTATCATCTATCTATCTATATATCTATCTATCATCTATCTATCATCTATCTATCATCTATCTATCATCTATCATCTATATCTATTTATCATCTATCTATCCATCCATCCATCCATCCATCCATCCCATGGTTAGCCTTTTCCTCCATGAATGTGTCTAACCGCACTTAAAAGCCTTCTACATCACCTTGCCAACAAAGGTCTGTATAATTAAAGCTATGTTTTTCCCAGAAGCGATGTTTGGAAGTGAGAGCTGGACCATAAAGAAGGCTGATCGCCGAAGAATTGATGCTTTTGAATTATGGTGCTGGAGGAGACTCTTGAGAGTCCCATGGACTGCAAGAAGATCAAACCTATCTATTCTTAAGGAAATCAGCCCTGAGTGCTCACAGGAAGGACAGATCATGAAGCTGAGGCTCCAATACTTTGGCCACCTCATGCGAAGAGAAGACTCCCTGGAAAAGACCCTGATGTTGGGAAAGATGGAGGGCACAAGGAGAAGGGGACGACAGAGATGAGATGGTTGGACAGTGTTCTCGAAGCTACCAGCCTGAGTTTGACCAAATTGCGGGAGGCAGGGGAAGACAGGAGTGCCTGGCGTGCTCTGGTCCATGGGGTCATGAAGAGTTGGAGATGACTAAATGACTAAACAACAACAATAACACATCTAAGAAGCAGCAATGGACTACAACTACTACTACTACTACACCACAGAGAGGCAGAACTGAGGGCTAGCCCTGTAAGCCATGAGGTCACTGTTCTTCTGTCAGCATGGAAGAGAAACTGAGACCCTCCGAAACGTGTACTGGCCATTGCCTGAGCTACCAACACCAATGAACAGCTGTATTACGGCTGCCATATTAAAGAATCTGAATCTAAAACTTCTGCCAGGAAGTTTTTAAAATGGGCAGCCTTAAAATCTCCATTGAACAGTGCTCTTGATGCATGTTCCAATTTCTCCGTGTGACTGTTCAGACATTTAGAAGTGAGGAGAGCATTTCGCAAGCTGGACATTCTTGTAACAACTGGCTGGCACAAATGAATGAATGAACGGACAGATTTCAGAGCTCAGCAGACCTGCGACTTTACTTATTCAATCCCTGCCAGCTCAGCATATTGTCTCTGTTCTGGAGGGCCGATATTGGCTGTCAAAAGCAGCATTCTCTCCTGATTTAAAAGATCATTCATTTCACCATTTCCTCTCAGTGATATCAGAGCCAAATTTCATAGTTAAGGGAGGAATTAAGGTACACAGGCTTTGGCATTCAAAGGGGTTGGCATGCTATCCCTGTACATGAAGTTTTTTCAGAGAGACCTGAGACAGCAAGAAATTATGCATAGGCCCACCACCACCCTGAGGAGTTTTATATTTTGTTTGTTTATAAAAGTACTTACATACTTTCCCCTCACAACATATGGGCCCAGTATAGAGCAACATAAGAAGTCTTTAAAGGCAGTACAGAATGGTCATTAAAATATCTGACTACTCAAGAAACTGTTAACAACTGCTTTGGCCTGTTGGTATTAAAAAGACTGTAGGAACACGGGTGACAATGTGGTCTAAACCACTGAACCTCTTGGGCTTGCTGATCAGAAGCTCCTGTTGCTCTGTCCCAGCTTCTGCCAACCTAGCAGTTTGAAAGCATGCCAGTACAGGTAGATAAATAGGTACTGCTGTGGCGGGAAGGTAAATGGCATTTCCATGCCCTCTGGTTTCTGTCACGGTGTCCCATTGCACCAGAAGCAGTTTAGTCATGCTGGCCACATGACTCGTAAAGCTGTCTGCAGACAAACACCGGCTCCTTTGGCCTGAAAGTGAGATGAGCGCAACAACCCCATAGTCACCTTTGACTGAACTTAACCATCCAGGGGTCCTTTACCTTTTCCTTTTCCTTTTTCAACCTATTGAAAAGACTAGAGATGCCTGAAGGTCAGAAGTGTCTGTTGAATCTCTACTGGAAGGATAGAGAGGCTGGTGACACTAAATGCTTGACTTCTAGCTGAGGGCAGCTGGGTCTCTGTAACATGGGGAACAACTAATAGCACTCCTATGGTTGATCTCAGTAATCTAGATGATTTCAGTGATCAAGCTGGGTGTCAGGAATGAGCCAGCTCCCAGTGAAGGTTTGCAACCAATGGAAGAAAGCAGCCAGGAACAGAGAGAGTTAACTTTCAGGATGAACAGCAGCTAGTGCCAACTCCCCCGCCCCTTGGAATGCTGGGTGATAAGGGAATGGCTGAGGGTGGGCTGGAACCCAGCCAAAGGTCTTGGGAAGTTCAAACAGGTGCAAACAGAGACAGACGTAGTTTGTCAAAAAGGGAGGAAGGGGAAGCTGATCCAATCCCTCCTCAGAGTAGGCTAAGGGGAGGGCTGTTAGACTGGAAACAATGCAAGAGATGTAAGATAGCAAAGTTCACCAGCTTCTGTAGGAACCGGAAGGCATCTTCAGAAGGGTCATCTTGATCGATGTTGTTGGAGGCTGTGTTAGAGCCGTCCAGAGCTATCTGTTTGTTTAGACAATAAATCATCCTTTTTAATTAGCTACGTTCACTGTGTTATCAAGCTGGGAACCTGGACTCCTGACACTGGGACTATATGGCTTTAGTACTCAAGGTATCCTAGACCCTATATATCCAGGGCTTCAGCCTGGCCAGGTAGCAGATGGACAGCCAGTGCAGACAGCTTAAGAGAGTTATCATGTCTTGCCTGCCATTATCTGCCCTCATCAACATTCTAGCCTCTGCTCTTTGAACTACCTGGAGGTTCTGGACTAGGCTGAAGAGCAGCCCTACACAGAGAATGTTGCAGTAAACTTTTAGACTTCATGGGAGCTTTCCAAGAACAGGGGACACAGGGTTTATCATTTCATCTGGACAAATAGCTCAGCTGGTAGAGCATGAGACTTTTAATGTCAGAGTCATGGATTCAAGGCCCACATTGGGTGAAAGGTTGGACCAGAAGACCCTTGTGGTGCCTTCCAGCTCTACAAGTCTATGTTTCTATTTCTTTGTGATTCTGTGTTTCTTTATGAGGTCAATTCTCTCTTTAACACCAGCAAATTAATAAATAAAACCATAATATATGCTGTGTCTTAAATTTCCATAAAACATAATTGCCCTTTAAAATAATCTCCAGAGAAACATTCTATTTTTATTTAAAACACACACACATACAGAAAAGTAATATATTCAATAGGATTTGACCTTAAGGCTAAGAAATTCCTTGTGGTACAAGATGGATTTTTAACTCAGTCAGAAGTGTGTGCTCATCTGCATAGGCAGTAACTTGTGCAAAGTTTATTTTTAAGTCAGCCAATTAATACACCCATCATTTATTAAATTAATTAATTTGTATAGTTAAAGCACACAATGTGATAGAATTCTTTAGGAGGCACCATTAAGTAGGGGCTAATTAGAGCTAATGAAAGCTTCCAGTGCTCCATTTATAGGAGTTTGATTAATTTTAACCAGTGGGAAAACATTATAGCAGCCCAGTCCCATACAGCTTATTAGGCATGCCTCTTCCCAGTGATTTCAATTACCTTAGGTGTGCCTAACTCTGCAGAAGATCAGCCTGCATAGCAAGCATTTTTGAACTGCAAGTTTTCCAAGTGATATGCTAGTTACATAGCACTGCTAGACAAAGTAATATGCCTAGGCCATTGTCTCAGCAGGTGGGGGGGGGGATGCAATACTTTTCTTACAACCTCGAAAGAATAATGGCTGTAGCCCATTTCTGCAGAGTCAGTGGGCAGAATAGTAGCATTCCCTGATAGATAAGAGAAAAATGAGAAGTCTATTCAGTTTGTCCAAAGTTGCACCTTTTCTAGAAATTTTGGTCTCTTTGATACAATTAAGATCAAGTTGCCAGCAGAATACGGTATGTTCAAAGCTTGTATCTGATTTCCTGAAACCTTTCCCTTTTTTTAAAAAAGGGGGAAAGCTCCCAAGAATATATACATATATTCTAATCAATTTCAAGACATGCAATGGGGGTCAATTTTGGCATGGGGTATTTGATATGGGTAAAACCCCATTATCAAATGCTACCCTTCCTGCTGAGGAGGTCTAAGGAACATCTATGTAAATGACTGAAACAACCCGAACCACCCCTCCCTGGAAAAAAAAGAAAACTCATTGTAGAGAAATGGGAGACAGAGCAGAAATGGAGATCAGGAGTTGGCTTGTTTATGGTGCAGACTTGGAGTGGCAATTGAGCACCCTCACCTGGATGCAGAAATGGGCATGCTAGAAGGAATACATTGGGTTGGCTGAAAGCCAGCTTCAAGGTGGCTTAAAGCCAGACACAAGAGAATGGCAGAGTTGTTGGTCAGCCCAGAGTGCTGCAGCCACCCAGAGTGGGAAAATGACTGAGTGTCAGGGACTGGGTGGATGTGGAAGAATGGTAAGAGCTGCCCATCCAAGAACCTCCCAGGACTCAGAAGATGATGACTTTGATCCTGGATCCTGGGATGATCTGGGAGATGCTAAGCAGGGGATCTGAGCAATCAAGGCAGGTCAGAAGAAGGGCCTTCCAGGACAGGGTTAGTGGCTGAGAGTTACAGTGTGAGTGCAGGCAATCCCAGTTCTTCTGACTCTCCTCCACCTCTGAAACCCTGCTTGAGGAGATTTCTGCATGTTGCTAAGTAATGGGCCAGACAGGCCCAGAGGAGGAGGTCCTTCCCTCACTGCAGCCTTCGTCTGTTTGGGAGGGATCCAGAGTGAAAGGCTAGAAGGGGAGGGCGCAGCTAGTGGTCATCTCAACTGGATTAACCTGAACCAGAGGACTCTGCTGTGTTGGAATTTTCTGTTAATAAGGAGCTAATTTCATTCTGTTCCTGCCCTGTGGTTGACCTGGCTCTTGGATAGCTCCTTGACACTGAATGGGAGACTATGGGAAAGAGAGGCTGTGAAAGGCAAGCTTGGGGGGGACGGGACTTGGTGCATTGGAGCTCATGAGAAACCTTGGTGCAAGAGGCACTGGAAAGATTTGGCTCAAGGCTTGAGTGGAGATTCTGGAAGGGTTGTGGGGAGAAAGAAGGCAATGGAACATTCATTAGGAAGGCAGGCATCTGAGCAGAAACCTCACTGTTGAACCAGAAGATTGTGCATTCTGCCGACGCACAGGACCCACTTAATAACTAAATCCTGAACCCGCTTATGAGCTAGGGGCTGCCCTCTCCAGAGAGGGAGAGATTTGCTATTCTGGGGGCCTACTTTATTGAACATATAACACTCACCTTACCCCTTGGAGATGAATGCATCACATTCTCTCTAGACAAAATCAAATACTCCATTGCTTAGGCTCTATAGGAATGCTTGAGCCTCAAAGACTAGTTCTCTAAAATTATTTTCATGCATCAGTAAGGATCTTTCCAGCATAACCAGCAAACAATATAGTAGGAATATAATTAAAATATGGAAGTCAATGGCTCCTGGAAGAGTTATCATTACTATAACACTTAATCCTAAATATATCTATTATAAATGTGTGTGCTTACTGGGTAAGATTTTAATGTAATTGCCACTCCTATGATTAACATGGGTCAGGATACATTTAAATTCAGAATAAATAAATAAAAGCATAAAAGAAAGCGAAGCTACACAGAAATCTGCAAAAGCAAGAGCCTAGTGAAAACTATAGGAAAGTAACATATTTAATAAAGACGACTTTGATCATTCTTTGGAAAGTAGGTTTTCTTGATGGTTATGTTAAAAAAAAATTAAAAAAAAGAATTACAGAAGCGCTACAGTTTCAATAATCCACAAACAGAATCCAGATCCAGAAAACTGTGATGGGAAAGGATCCGGAAGCACAAGATTACACAAGTTGGTGGCGATTGTCTCTATAAATCTGGTTTATTTATTAGATTTATATGCCGCCCTTCATCAAAAGATATCAGTGTGGTTCACAAGGTAAGTAGGATATATAAAAACAGGGAGGTACAGGAAGTATAATAGCCAAGCCACTTCTTTGACCCTAACTGCTTTAACATACCATAATACAATACATGTCAACTACACCAGATGATTGTGGGGACACTAACATCAGCTAGCACTAACATTTATGAACATACAGTAACAGGGTCACTTATATTTCAAAATTAATAATTTTAGCCTTTACGTTGGTCCGAATGAACGTTTTCTCCTCAGCTTTTGTCAAGGGCAGATACAGTATTTAAACTTCCCTAGAAATGATAGACATTACGGGTGTTTTTTGAATGTGGCAGACACAGTAGAACATATTCTTTTCTTCTGTCTATTGTACAATCAGCTACGCAAATGCATGCTATCCCACTTTTTTGGGTAGTCTAACATCACGGCACAATGAAAATATCAGATTCTATCTGTCTGACATTAAGCCGGAAGTAATTGCAAGTGTGGCTGAGTTTCTATCTACAGTATCTCTCAGAGTGGTGAATGGCGCTATTTAGTGTGAAGAAATCCTAATGAAAAACCTTGTTACTACAAACTTTTACATGGCTGTTTATTTGTATATACAGACGTACCTCGGAAGTCAAACGGAATCCATTCCAGAAGTCCATTTGACTTTCTGAAAAGTTCAGAAACCAGCGCACGGCTTCCAATTGGTTCCCGGTTGAGCAGGCGTGCTGGAAACAATAGTGGAAGCCATGCCGGATGTTCAGCTTCCAAAAAAAGTTTGAACACTGGAACACTCACTTCTGGTTTTTGATTGTCCGGGAGCCGGAACATTCAACTCCCAAGGGATTTGAGAGCCAAGGTACAACTGTATATAATAAAAAAAAATATGGATGTTTTATGATGGCCTATATTTGTAATGTCTAATAAAGGTTTGGCAAAGTAGTAGAAAGTAGAAGTAGAAAATACAGTATTGGGGCACCATTTGAGGAGAGGAAGATTTCTTCATTATAAGGATACAGTATACAGGGTCCTAGGTGCTGAAATTCAAAGGCTGCTCTTTTTTGGGATAGTAAATGCAGATAGTTGTGGAGTGGGGGTACGTAGTCATTCTTTAGCCCCTTTCCCTCTAACATACGCACACCTTTAGGGGCTGTTTTGGGTAGACATTGTAACTAAGCTGGATCCATATAGGTTGTAAATTACAATGGTCCAGGGAAAATTACTTCTGAACCATTTTGATTTTTAGAGATGCAAGGTTGTGTAAACTGAGCTGCTCTGTTAAACAGGTGCTTTGGCATTTGTTTGTGTTGGGCTAGGAGGTGTGATCAAGGGAAGTTTGAAAACTTGTTTTAAAATCCACCCCCCCCCCCCTTGTCATGACTCCATTGCTCATTATTGTTATCTTCCTGTTTCTTACAGTCATTGTAGGATAAAAATATAGATTCTCCCCTTATTCACAATACAGCCAGATTACTGTTTATCCGTCCTTATTTTTAGAATTCATCCAGAAGAGACATTTCACACAGTTTAAGCCATTTTCCTTCAAGAACTCCCATTATGTGTCATCTCTACGGACTGCTTAAGTACTATATGCCTTTGCAGAAAAAGTTAAGAGCAAGAAGAAAACACTGCTGCTATTCTTGTTTTTATGGGGGCCTTACGTTCCAAAAGACAATTAGCTTTTGAAAAATGCATTGTAATTAAAACATGCATAGCTGTTTGGAAGGAGAGTCTCTGAGTCATGGCTAAGAATGTCACATGCTGTACTGTAAAAAGGCAAAAAGGCAAAATTTTCTCACATGCATGCGTGAACCTCATTCAGCTCCTATCACAAATATCCAGCACATCCAGGAAGGGCCATTGTTCAGTTACAGATCATATGCACTGCATGCAAAGGTCCCAGATTCAATCCCTGTCATCTTCTGATAGGGCTGAGAGAGACTCCATTATAAAACCATGGACAACTACTGACAGTGAGTGAAGACAGTACAAAGTTAGATGGTCAATTGGTCTGACTCAATATAAATCACTTTATTCTTTACATCTTATTTGTGGTCTTATTGC